CTCCTGCTCAGTGAGGAAGAAGGGTGTGGATGATGCCTTCCTAGCAGCCCCTGTAGGTACATAAACACAAGTGAATTTCTACAGATGAATGGCATAAGCCAAGAAGATCATGTGGTGTCCCAAGAGGAGGCCTGAGGAAGAGGAAAAGCATGGAACCCAGTGAAGCCCTCAAAGATCAGAGCAGTTATCCTTTAGCTGGGTCTCATAAGCCATGTGTCTGTCTCTAATCACTATGGCTAGATATATGCCTCAGCCCCTACTGCAGCCCTACTGGCCCTGAAAGACATAAGCAAGGCCAGCCATGTTGGTTTGGAATTTTCAGCTCATACCTGATGTGATACAAGGAAGTCCAGGAGTCCCTAGTGCTCTTTGCCTAACAGCCCTCATAACCTGTGTCCATGACTAAAAGGAACTGAATGTCTCAGACCTGGGTACATGGATGGAAACTTTCCCTCCTTGGTATTTACATCAGACATAAAGTGCAACAACATCCCATTCTGATACCACATTAGTGGTTCTGGGCCTCCTGTTGTATTCTTTGCCTCCTGTTGCATTCTTTGCCTCCTGTTGCATTCTTTGCCTCCTGTTGCATTCTTTGCCACTCAGAATGAACTGAAGGAGGTCGTAGCACAGCAGCTGCAGCCTTGACCATTCCTGGCCCTCTGCCACTGAACCATCAGAAATCCTCCACCTTGGATCTGCTCTTTAGGAACCCGGATAAGCAGCATAAGCCCATTGCTTCATGATCACAGCTACTGAATCCCAATACTAGAAGGTCCAGTTCTAGCCTCACCTCCTTAGGAAACTTTCTCTGCCAATCAGTGTGATCAGTCTTGCCAACATGTCAATTTGGTGAACTCTATAAATACTTGGTGAATGCCTCAAGGGCAGTTGGCATTGCCCAGACTCTGGTGATTTCACAGAAGATGCCAAGTGCTCTCCAGGATACAATAGAATTTCCAGAGAATGGACTGTTAGGGCCACTGCCAATGGTCATCACCTATCTGATAACAAGCTCTTCCCCAATTCACCAAAAGCCAAGCTGCCCTTTCCAGGAGCCTTTCCTGAAAAACAGGGCAAGGCCTTCAGCACCTCCTCCTTCCAATCCTGAGATCTCTCTGATTCATTAGAATCTAGTTCATTCTAATTCAACAGTTCATCATGTGTGGAGAGCAAGAGTCATTTTCCAAACACTGCCCAAAAATGGCTCTTCTCATTCTTACAATCGCAAGCTAATAAGATGAGAAATTAAGGATGCTAAGAAATTAGCTCAGGATAATGGGGAAGGAAGATCAGTTCCATGAGATGAACAAGCACATTAGAGAAGATCCATGGGGGCAGTTACAGTGTATTGGAATGGTGGATGATTATGTGGTTCCTGTCAGAACAATGATAAGTCATATTGGAAATGATGGGACTTTTGCTAAAACCTTCAGCAGAATACATTCCAGCCATCATGAAGTTAGCAAAAGTGTTATCAACTACTGATAGGTATGACTGAAAATACCTAAGGACTGGGCATCCCCAGGTGAGCCCTCAGTCACCAAGAACAAATGCTTACAAAAAGATTGATGTCCCAGTCCTGCACTCAATGTAGAGGAAAGAGGACTGGCTAGTGAGAGGGCAGGAACTCAGAAACCTTAGGAGTCACTGACATAAGGCAATACTTGGTGGCTCCTGCCATGCCAGTGGTTGTTATTTAAAATGTGAGAACCTCTAGCTCTGGCCAGGGGACTTTGCTCTCCCCTTTATTAGTGACACACACCAAAAGAAATC